TAATACAAAGAAAAGTGCAGTTTAATAAACCAGTGTCTGTGCTATTTGCTCTCTTCTTATCTCGGGAAGAGTTTAAGCTACTTCTAAAGCTATAAATGTCAGGAAAAAAACCTACCATTTGATCTACATGAATAAAACAATTCCAGAGTGCTCGGTGTCTGGTAGTCCTATTGCTGATTACTGTGCTGCTTACAGTAGGATAAGTGACAGACCTTGGGGGAAAATGCTGGAGGAAATTCAAGAGGAAAAATAATTTAATCTGATTTCTGTTTATTTTTTTTCTTCCCGTCTCAAGCTTTAATGATCTGCACAGCATCATGGACGTATCCTCCACTGTACCGGGTCGTCTTGTAGCATCACCACACATAGGAGATTCCTACTGTTCTCTTCTTCCTGGAGATTTTATAGTTTATCTCTCCCAAGTAACCATTACATAACCTACTTTGATAGTTCCTTCCGGTACACAACAATTTCATTTTTGTAGTCCTAAAGTTATGCTAGCGAACACAGCAGACACTAGCCACATGTGGCCATTTAACTTTTTGAAAAATTAATACAGTTCTTCTTTGAATGTTTACTTTCATTTATCTGAAAGGTAGAGGGAGAGGACAGTGAGATCAAGGGTGAGAGTTTGTATGATGACCAGTCTGACACTTCATCCAAGCTTTGCACCTGGGTAGCAAGAACACAAGAATTCACACTATAATTTGTTGCCTCCAAGGATGCGTTAGCTGGATTGGAAACAGAGGAGCTGGGACTCAAATGGATAGTCTGATTCGGGATGTGGACATTCCAAGAAGCAGTTTAACCTACAAATGCCACAATACCTGCTTCTATTTAACTTTTTCTTTTTTTTTGAAGATCCTTTTAGGCCCTGGTGCCCTAAAAGGCACAGCATATTAAGCATTCTGTATGGGTGCTGGTTCAAGTCCTGGCTCCTACAACTGTAATCCAGGTCTCAGAGAGAGGAGACAGAAATGGAGAGAGAGAGAGAGGGAAAGAGAGAGAGAATAATCTGTTGGTTTATACCTCAAATGGCTGTAGCTGGTGGGACTGGGTCAAGAGCTTCATCTAAGACTCCCATGTGGCTGCAGGGGCCCAAGTACTTGGGTCATCTTCTGTTACTTTCTCAGTTACAATAGCAGACGCTGGATCAGAAGTGGAGTAACCAGGACTCGTACCTGATCCCATATGGGATTCTAGCATTGCAGATAGAGGCTTAACTCATTATGCCACAAGGCCAGTCCCTTAACTTTCAATTAAATAACATCAAGTACAAATAAAAATTCATTTCCTCAATTCATCCTAACTAAATTTCAGTTACTCATTAGCTACATGAGGCTAGTGTCTATTGTGTTGGAAAATATATAGAATGCTTTCATTATTGAAAACAATAATTTTGGACAGCTCTGCTCAAAGGGAACTTCAGGGATGTGTGCTGACAGGCAAGTGTTTGGAAAACAATGAAACTATAAAGGTGTTGTCATCACTAAAATGATGACTCCCTACTTCCCAGCTCTGTCCCTGTAGGGCTCCTGAGAACTGTATTCTTCCATGATCCTGCCATCAGGGCCACGGAGCTTTTGATTTGATACATGCAACTGACCCAAGGTGAGCTAATTTTATACCTGGCTTTCTGATTGGTCACCTACTAGGTTAAAGATTTTATTTATTTTTATTGGAAAGTCAGATATACAGATAGGAGGAGAGACAGGAAGGAAGATCTTCCATCCACTGGTTCATTCCCCAAGTGGCAGCAACAGCCAGAGCTGAGCCAATTCCAAGCTAGGAAGGAGCTAGGAGTCTCCACCCGGTCACCCACACAGGTGCTGGGTTCTCGACTGCTTTCCCAGGCCACAAGCAGGGAGCTGGATGGGAAGCTGGGCTGCCAGGATTCAAACAGGTACCTATATGGGATCCCAGCACGTGCTAGGTGAGGACTTTAGTCATTAGGCTACAGTGCTGGGTGCACTAGGTACCCCTTTGAGTGGATGACACTGCATCTTTTTAGTTTTTTTATGGAATATGAGTCCAGAAAGTTGGTGGAACCTGTTAGTTGGAAAGATTAGAATTTATATACTGGTGCAAGGTATATATTCTCCATCTTCTAGTGACTTTAGTCTTTTTAGGTTGAATACCTTATAATGAATAAAGATTACTTCCAGCCTTTAAAAAGCAGACCTCTTAAAAGTACACTGGGAAGTTTTGTAATTTGGAATATACTTTCCTATCAAGATAATATTGCTACTAATGGTTTTGTTTGGCACATGAAAACCACTTAACTAATTCAGATGAAGTTACTTTTAATTTCCCCTTTGACTTGATCTTTCCACATGATTCACCTTCAGTGCTTAATTTTTTGACTAATGTTTCAGTCATGTCACTGAGAAATAAACCACTGTGGCTTTCCTGGAAGTCAAACTATTTTTAGAGAATAATATTTCTATGAAAAACAATATTTACATGTCATAATCACAAGAACAAAATTACTCTGACATTAAAAAATGCTCTTTTCTTTCACAGCTCACAATACATGATGGGAAAATTAGTAATTGGTTGAGTTGCATGTTTGCAAATTATTTTGCAAATAATTCATTACAAAGATGAAGCAGCTCTCGAAAATCCCTTAGTGTGTAAAGATGTATAGAATAAAGATGGTTTGGAGGCATTAGGTCAAGACTAGAAATACTTTTGTCATTAGTCATGATTTATAATTAGTAAAATGAAATATGTCTTTTCTACATAATGGCTGTTGCTTTAGAAGGATGAGTATATAAGCAGCCCAAATAAGAAGCTAATTCCAAGTCGCCATTCAGCAAATTCAGATGCAAAGTGTAATGTTGGGCTTTGAGACAATCCATGTAGTTTTCAGTGTTGTTAGTCTCAAGGAAGCTTTCTAAATCATATTTTCAGAGAATGAGTTTTTGTTGTTGTTTGTGCTTTTCAGTGGCAACGTTGGTAGATACAATTCTGACTTAGGGGAAAATGGTATCTGTTCTAAATAGACTTGCCTTAAATTCCAGGATTTGACAACCTCGGTGCAGTGGTTTACCTCTGGCACCGTCCTCCATTTTCTGAGCATTGGTTATATTAACCTAGGTAACGGAAGCCCACACAACTTGATCATGTATATAATTACTTGTATAATTGTTGATTAAATTTCTCTGGCTTTCAATATTAAATTCTTAAAAAGGGCTGAATAATTATGTTATCAGTCAGCCAGAAACCAGAAACCCAGGACTGTGGTTTCAACTTTAAATTGTTGCCTAGAATTTCAAAACTGTCTTAAGGGAAACTGCTTGGGAAAAACATCATTAACTGAATCCATCCCATAGATATTTATGGTAAATGTGCTTGTGTGCACACACACATGCACACATGCACACATGCACACACACACATTTTTTCAGGCTAACCTATGGGCATTTTAATGTTTTCATAGAACAGTTTCTCATTTGATCCTTCAATAACAGTTCTGGCTTCCAGTCAGCTTTCAGCACAGTGCCTGGCTCAACAGGCAGCCACTGAACCAACGAACATGGTAAAGAATGTAGTCTATTGAACATAAACTGTGATGAAAGGAGACGTTATGTAAACGCAGATGTTCCAGATTTACAGCCCAACTTCGCTTACATAAGTGTAAAGCACAACATCTTTTTTCTTTGTGTCAATCTCCAGCACAGCTATTTTGCATTAGGAATTAACATTGATTTTTGCCATAAGGGAGAATCACCAACTCCGTATTCCTTGATGTTGTTCCTGTTTTTGTTGCAGTGTCAAATGAAGTTGAGAGTTGGGTAAATGATGTATTGCTTAGCTCTTCATGACTGCAATAAAATGCCAGAGGCAGCTACTTATAAAGAGAAAACGTTTACTTAGTTCAGTTTTGGAGGTTCTAGTTCATGGTAGGTGGTAGGTGGCAGATTTTGGTAAGTGTGGAGGATGGCAGTGCTGGAGCAGGTGCAGAGGAAGGTTCTGACTTTGAACCAGGAAGCAGGTTGGCACGGCTCAAGGGGGCTGGGGAGAACTACCTCCTGAGGGCACGGGGCTATGGACCTCGCATCAGGCTATACTTCCCAGTGGTCTTATCATGTTCCAACCTCACCATCCATGGGAGCAGACCTTCAGCATACGGCCTTCAGGGGGTAGTTCAACTAAAAAGCCAAAACCCAGTTAAAAAAAAAAAAAAGCAGCCAGTTGTTGCTGTATTCAGGGTTGGCTTGCGACTACGCATCCTGCAATTGCACATGCGAACTCCAAACACCTGCATGTGCTGTGCCACTCAGGCCATGTGTCCGTCCAAGGTCTGACTCCCACTATTTGTGCGGTCTCAAATGCGTGTTTGCCATGTGACGCACGGCAGGGCCTGCTTGAAGGAACCCCCAAGAGCGGGGTGGCAGCCAGACCCAGCAAGACTCAAGGCTGAGGTGCACGTGTGTGAACCTGAGTGTGTGTGACAGTGGAGGAGAGAAGAAAGGGTGGGGAGATGGGGGAGAAGACCACGAACGTAGGGAGCGGGAAGTTCCTGTCCTCAGGATGCCTCTCGCCTGCTTGCTTCCTGCCAAGTGGCTGTTTATCCCAGAGCTGAGATCTGGGGCAAGCATCTGGCTGATTCAGGCAAAGGCAAACCAAACCCCCAAAGAGGCCTCCAGATAGCCAGATCTGATGCAGTCGCTGGGTGGAGAACAGGCCCTGGCGGCCCTGTCCATGGTGCTGAGCGCACCCTTCCCACTCGCGGCGCGGCCCTGGCCTCCCCGGCTCCAGTTTCGAATCCCGGCGCGAGGCGCGGTGGGGGCGGCGGGGTGGGGGCGGGGCGGCGTCACGTGCTGCCGGCGGCGGCGGCGGCGGCCCGGGAAGGTTCCATTCGATCGGTGGCCCGCGCCCGGGCGCACGCGGCCCCTCCCGTGGTTTCCGCGGCGGCCGCGCAGGCCCCGCCACCCCGGGCCCGGGCCCCGCCCCTCTGGCCACGGCCTCGGCGCGTCCTCGGCCCGCCGCCCCCGCCCCTCGGTTGGTGCGGTCCATGGCGAGCTCATCATGGCGATTGAAGGTAAGCGGAGGCCGCCGGCAGCGGAACGTCCCGCTGCCCGGGGCGGCTCTGGGCGCCGGGGAGGCCGGGCTGCGCCTGAGGAGGCGCGGGGTCCTGTCAGCGTCCCAGGAGGCGGTGGGCGGAGCGGGGACGCCTGGCCGGGCCTGGGCCGGTGGCCGCGCGGGAGGAAGAGCCGGACGGCCCCGGCGGGTCCAGGGCTGGGGCCGCCGCCTCTTTCCGGCTGCGCGGAGCGGGGCTCCCTGAGAGGGGCGAGGGCTACCGAGGGACCCCTTTTCTCGGCCCCGCCCCAGCGGACCGAGCTCCCGCCTTCTGCGCCTCCTGCCAAGCCGAGAGCCGGTGCTGCTGTCCCCTTCCTGACCCTTCCCTGTCCCTGCTCTGGGGCTGGTGTGGAACTGCGCCCGCCACCCGTTCCTCCGCTGTCTGCCTTTATGGGAACCGGGGAGATAGGGCTGGGTGGAGGGACGGTGAGGTTCGTTTTGCTCCTCAACACTCAAAACTGTTCTTCTTTGGGGGATGGGGGGTGAAGTAAATAGATGTTTACCACAAACGCACCCTCTCGGAATCCGGCATACATCAACCTTTGAAGTATCCACAACTCGTATTTTCCAGAACCAGCTTAGTTAAAATTAAGTTGGCACTCAAGTCAATTTTTTTTTCTTTTGGCCTAAATTCGTGTGGTGTCAGTATTTTGCGGTGCTTTTAAAGAAGATAGTGTGCAAATTGGTACCGTGCATCTGGGATACTTGTGGGGACAGACTAGTGCACCTTCCAGACCTTCTCTGACTCTGTGATGAACTCAGGTGCAGCAAAAGTGATTTGTGAAACTGCCTCGTGGGTCTGTGCACGTGTATTCCTCTGTATAGGTTACAGCTTCCTGTAGCTCTGTCGTTATTTGTCTAGACTGAAATGTGTGTCTCCTAGGTAAAACTTTTAAAAGTGCTTTCCATCTGGGTCACCCATCACCGGGAGCACACGTATCTGGTATGTGCTTTGGTCAGATACTGTGAGCTCCAAAATAGCTTTAGCTGTGTTGTTTACCTCACGTATTTAAGAAACGAAGTACCTGTTAAATGCAAGTGGCACAGTTAAATGGTTCCAGGAGCTTTGGTGAAACTGATGGAGAGTAAGGGCCCCTTTGACCTTTGGTACTCCGGCTCTCTGGAGCAGCACTTGACGCCTTTTCCTCAGTGCTTTTTGCCAGAGGTTTAAGAATCAGTCATTGATGGCTGTGCACTTTTATTTTCCAAAATCAGTTTGTGACAGGATTTCTTATGAGGTTTAGGCAGAATGTGAGGAAGGTTTAGCCAGAGGGCATTCAGGTACGATGCTGTAACTTATAATTTCTCAGAAGTGTACTCTAGTTTCTTTTTTCTTAGTCCTTCTGTTCTTTCCTCTGGAAGTCAGTTTTACTGAAGCCTTTGCTGTGACAACTAATGGCATTTTGCTCTGCTTACTGCTTGCATGGTTTTTTTTTTTTCTGCTTGCATGTTTAAGGAGCAGGTTTTTAACAATACTTATATTTTTCAGATCCTTGTGTTTCAGATACTTTCATAGACATTTTCATACATAAGCCTTTGTCGAAGGTTTTTTTTTTAAATATAAACATCAGGAATTTTGTCTTTTCTAGTTTGTTGAAGCAGCTACAGTTGATAATTACATTTAGAATCAGCATGTCTAATTGTGTTTCTTATCATGTAATGAAGTAATGGATACCCTTCCACAATTGTGTTATACAGTCAACTAAACTGTAGATGAACCTCTGTGTTGAGCAAATCTCAGGGACCCCAAGAATGTTGCCTCCAGCATTCTCAGTGATGTGGTTGTTAAAACCTGTGGGTCTTTCAGTAGACAACTTATTGTGCACAAGCTGTATTCAGTATTCTGTGTTAGAGTTGGTCAGGCCAGTAGGATGAGTGAGACTGTTTTGCCCCTCAGAGTTCACAGGTCCAGTGGGGAGACATAATTGCAAGCATCCAGTTGTAAAATAGGGTAAAAAGGAAGAATGTTCTTACTTAAAATAGCAATATTCGGTGATTGTGTTGGGGCAGTAAGATTTTCTATTTTTATGGTCTTTGTGTTTGGCCAGAAAAATCCATTCAGAAACGTCTACCTAGCCAGTGTCTGCCTCTCTGGTAACAAATCAGAAGCGTGTGGCTTTGTATGTACACGAGACTCCTGCAAGCATTTGAAGAATATTTTCTTTCTAGACAATACATCTATTACCTGCTTTGGATGATCTGCAGTTACAGACTTTAATATTTGGAATGTAGCAAGGATTACTCTAATCCAATTTTACTGTTGTCTAGCATCCTGAAAAATGTTGTATTCTTCCTGACTTGTACTAGTTCTAGCAATGTAGCTTAATATTAGAGTAGGCTTTTTGATGCTTCATGTTGGCTGGGGTTTGAGGTTGCAGTCAGCCAAACCAGTCTCAAAGCATGTGTAACTAACCAGTGTTTGGACTTGAAGAACTGGTCATCTGTGTTTATTACATGCACTTCTATTATCTCTAGTCCAATGAGTTAGCTCTTGAGTCTAGACATTTGAGTGCTGAAACCTTTTATTTTATTTTCTATGTAAAACCCTTCATTAATGGCACTAAGTTTTAATATAATTTTATTTAGTCATCCATTACCTTCTTTTCTTAGATATGTAACTACTAATCAAGACTTCACACAAATGTAAGATGATGATGCTGCCATACTGAACTAATGGAATTCCAGTTAGAGGCAAAGAAATTAGATCCATGTTAGGTACAGGTACGATTTTCAGAAGGCGTTTTGAAATATTAGTTTCCAGATCCTTATCGTTACCTAGTGATCTGTCCAGGTTAAGACATGAAATTGTTATCTAGCATATTCATGCTTCTAGTATTGGCCTCTGTTAGTGTGACATCATCAGCTGTCCCTGTCTTTGTCAAGTGTGTCCTCTCCCAGTGACATACTTCTTAGTCCTTGCCTACCTGACCTAAAGTTCTTTATGCTTACATTGTCAGTGCCACTGCCATTTCTTTTTTTTAAAAATATTTATTGCAAAGTCACATGTAAAGAGAGGAGGAAAGAAAGAGAGGAAGATCTTCCATCTGATGATTCACCCCCCCAAGTGACCACAGCGGCCGGTTCTGCACCGATCCGAAGCCAGGAACTAGGAACCTCCTCAAGGTCTTCCATGTGGGTGTGGGGTCCCAAGGCCTTGGGCCATCTTCAACTGCTTTTCCAGGCCACAAGCAGGGAACTGGATGGGAAGCTGGGCTGCTGGGATTAGAACAGGTACCCATATGGGATCCTGGCGCATTCAAGGCGAGGACTTTAACCTCTGGGTCATTGCACCGGGCCCTCCACTGCCATTTCTATCCTATGGCTATCATTGCACATAGTGAACACTTTCCAAATCAGTTGTTCACATTTTTTTCCCCAGTCTAACTATAAATTTCCAGAGAATAATGTTAATGACAAAGTTTCATATCCCTTAGGGTTTGTACAATACCTGGAGATCATATACACTCGATCCACGTTTCTCAAATTGTTTGATGAATTTTTATATTGTGCTCATGGATTACATCCTTTGTCCCCCCCCTCCACTCCCTTCCCCTCTTTTCCCTTTTCCTGTCCTAGTCTCCCCTATCCTTTCTTCTTCTTCATCCTCTTGCTTCAAGACAGAGATAATCAGCAGAGATTTCCTGTGTGCAAGTTTACTTGCCAAATGCTCACAGTGGTCAGGGCTAGACCATGCCAGAGAGTTGAGAATTCAGTTTGGGTCTCCCTCCTGGGTGGTGGGGACCCAACTATTTGAGCTATCATCTGCCTCCAAGCATCTGGACCTATGCTCAGCATGATGGCTCAGTGGCTAAATGCTTGATTTGCAAATGCTGGGATTCCCATATGGGCACTGGTTTATGTCCTGGCACCTACACTTCTCATCCAGCTCCCTGTTTGTGGCTTGGGAAAGCAGAGCAAGATGGCCCAAAGGCTTAGGACCCTGCACCCACATGGGAGACACAGAGGAAGCTCTTGGCTCCTGGCTTCAGATCAGCTGTGCTTGAACCATTGTGACCACTTGGGGAATGAACCAGTGGGCGGGAGATCTTTCTGTTTCTTCTTCTCTCTATAAAGTCTGCCTTTCTGATAGAAGTAAATAAATATTTAAAAATAGATAATTGCGTTCGAAACCTGGAATCAAGTTTTGTTCACTCCTCACATCTTGTTAATCACTAAATTCTACCAAGTCTACATTGTGAATTAATTTATGCTGTTTCATTTAGTTCTGCCCTTATGTCCCAATAGGAGATATGCAGTACTTTCCTAAATAGTCTTTTCTCTGTTGTTAAGTCTCCTTGCCATTCATTTTCCAAACTAGTGCTAGTTTAAAAATGCAAATTTAATATAAAATTCCAGTGTTAAACTGATCATCAGTAATCTGGCCTGTGACCTTCCTTCATCCAGTCTGCACTTTTCTATCTCTTCCCTAGCATAAGTTTAATCTATGGAGCCGCAACTTTCTGGTGCATATCTTTGTGATATACTTGCAATCCATATTACTGTGCCTGGAATCAAGTCCAATCTTCACTTCCCTTTGGGCTTCCTGCTAATGTGATCTTTGGGAACATGGCAGGTGATGGCTCAAGCAAGCACGTGGTTCCCTGCTACCCATGCCTGAGACTCAGATGGAGTTTTTGGTTCTTGGCATTGGCCTGGCCTAGCCCCAGCTATTGTGGGCATATGGGGAGTGAACCAGCAGAGAGCTGTAGATCTCTGTCTCCCTGTGTCTCCTTCTTCTCTCTCTGTCACTCTGTTTCAAATAAATTAAAAAAAAAAAAAAGGTTGGACCAACATAGTGGTCTATCAGGTTAATCTTCTACCTGTGGTGTTGGAATCCTGTATGGGTGCCAGTTTGTGTCCTGGTTGCTCAATTTCCAATTCAGCTCTCTGCTTATGACATGGGAAGGCAGAGGAGGATGGCTCAAGTCCATATGTCCCTGTATCCGCTAGGGAGGCATAGAA